AAGCTAATGCCAATGTACATTGACATTTAAGGATGTTAAAAATACTGATTTAATCCTACTACAGCCTGATGAGAGAATATTGTTATTCGCTCCATCAAACAAAAAAATAAACAGAGGTATTAAGTAATTTGTCATGATTAGGAGGTAGTAAAGTTGAAATATAAACCAGAAAGAAGTCCTCCTCCATGTTTTAAACACAAAAATTCTTCTTTTTAATTTTATTTTTATTTTGACAAAAAAAAAAACTATTTTTCCTTCAAAATCCTATGACACCATTGTGAATTTAGTAAGTAAAAAGTGAGAAAAACATTGATTCATTCTGGGGACTCCAGAGTTACTGGATGAGTTGGTACCCAAAGAAAATCAATTCGTGCAACATTTCAACCTATTAGGAATTCTCTAATGACAAAAGGAATCGATCTCTTGGTTTATACTCTTCATTTTACTCAATGACTTAAGGTAATAAAATAATGCATCATTTAAGAATTTGGAACTGATACAAAGTAGGCATAAATAGATAATATGATAATTTGGGGTGTTAACATGCAAAAGTTTTTAATGACCATAAATCAACAGACTCAAAGGTGAAAAACTTAATTGATAAATACAAATTCTTTAAAAAAATTTTTGAGAGAGATTTTTGCTATAAGGTGCATGTGGTTGCCAGAGAGATAGAAAGTGAGAAATTACCTTCCCCCATAAGGGATGGCCACACTGCAGTCCCATATTCTCCATCCGCCTCTTGGGATATTGGGCATACACACACACATGCCCAGTGTGAGTTTAAAGCCACCAGGTCTAGGACTCCAGTCACAATTAGCTATGTAGGAGTCCAGCACCTTAACCACTACACCACTTACTGGCCCCTACATATAAATTCTTAACACAAGTAAAATTATGTAATTAATATTAGTATATGATTTTTATAGTAATCATTACCATTTTTAAAATGTGTAATAAATAGCTTAATTGAAATTTTTGTCAAAAAGGCATGAAATTAACTGAGTCACACATTCAACTACAAAAAATAAAAAAGAAACTTGAGAATTATAATACATTCCCAGACTGTTGTCCAAACTGAGATTTATGTTAGTTCCAGTGTTTCTTCACTGGCTAGTCCTCTTCTAGATACTTGTATGGAAAGAAAGAGTTTTCTTTAAAGAAAAAAAAAAAAGTCAGCGATGAAGCTTGATAAAAAATGTTCAGGAGAAATTAGAAAATAGAGTCTAATAAACATAAAGATTACATGTACATATAATAGATTTAAATAGCCAGAACATAGCAGAATTAGTTGACATTTTTCTTTCAAGAAAATATAATGAAGTTTAAGAAGTTATTGAGATGTACATTTTAATTTGATAAATGAAAATATTACTCTTAAATTTGTTGAAAATAGAATAAGTATTCTAAAAAACTTAGATATATGGGAACCAGCAGTTAGCGTAATGGCTATGTCGCTAGACTCCCATGTAGTTGACTGCGGTTCGCTTCCCGGACCCGGTGGCTTAAAACTCACACCAGGCACGTGTGCGTGCATGCCCAAGATCCCGAGAGGAGAACGGAGGAGAAGGGATTGCGGTGTGACCATCCCCCCTGGGGGGTGATTTCTCGCTTTCTGTCTCTCTGTCTCTCTCTGTCTGTCTGGCGAACACACGCGCCCTACAGCAAAAACCTCTCAAAAAAAAAAAAAAAAAAAACTTAGATATATAATTTCAAGTAAGAAGGTTATAGAAATTATTTTTCTACTATATGGTAAACTGGATTACATAATGTATATCACCTCAAGTCTACTTTGCTCATTTCTATGAATTTGTTTTAACTGCAAGAGGGTTTGTGCACTTGCCAGAATAAGACAGACACAGAGAGAAATAAATGGAACCCACAATGGTATGTCATCATGCCCAAGCCCTTTTCCTTCATTGAATATTACTCATCCATAAAAACCAAGGAGATCAGGAACAGCAGTTGGAGTAATGGCTATGTCGCTGGACTCCCATGTAGTCCACCATGGTTTGAGTCCTGGACCCAGTGGCTTAAACTCATGCCAGGCGCTTGTGTGTGCGTGCCCAAGATCCTGAGAGGAGCATGGAGGAGAAGGGATTGCGGTGTGGTCATCCCTCTCTGGGGGGTGATTTCTCACTTTCTGTCTCTCTGTCTCTGTCTTTCTGGTGAGTGCATGCGCCCTATAGCAAAAACCTCTAAAAACACACACACACACACATATATATATATATATATGTCTCTTTCACATATATTAGATTAATACTGTTTGTAATCATTTAACATATCCCTACATTTAGCTACTAGGGATTTAAACTGGAATTGTTATTGACTAAAAAGTGTATGTTCTTCCTCAAAATTATCTACTAAAATATTTCCAGTAGTCCAAGACAAGCAGCCATAGAAAGTCTCAGTTCATTATTTCGCCAGATTCTCTCATGGAGGCTTGGGTCACATTCAAACTAACAATGTCATAATGGTACACTCTTCATCTACCTGTTTTTGAAAGCAGTGTATTTCATTTTATTTTACCCTAAATTCTCAGTCGTTTTAAATTTCCCTATATGGCTCTACAGTGTTTGAGAGTTCCATTTTTGCTGCCCTGATTATCCACACCTACCTTTCAGATGGGCTTGAGTTAATCGGAAGTCTGGTACCCTGGATTATTTTCCAAAGAAAATAACTTTCCTCTGCTTTTTATACTATGCAGTACAAGCCCTAAAAATCTTTTATGAAAAGAAACCAGGGGAAACTCATGGCTACTTACCTAAATTTAGACAGCCAAGGATTTATAAAAAGGAGCTTTTTTACCTAAATTATCTAACTTTTGATATGTCAATAGCATAGTTCTAAAAATATGTGCTTACTAAAAAATAAAACAAATTAAGTTTCTTGATTTAATTATCAATTTTTTAAAACGAGAATCATCACATTTTAATAGTACCTCTACATTTTTTTAAAGTAGCCATCAGCCATAATAATAGGAAAATTTAAGCTCTTTTTGCCTCAGCCACGAGTCTTCCTCTAGATAAATAAGTGAACTGAGAAATGTTGAACTACAAGAAATAACTATTTTAAAAATTATCATTATTTCAACTTGATTAACAAATCATCTGATAACAAAGGAACCAGATGAAATAGTACCTCTACATTTTTTTAAAGTAGCCATCAGCCATAATAATAGGAAAATTTAAGCTCTTTTTGCCTCAGCCACGAGTCTTCCTCTAGATAAATAAGTGAACTGAGAAATGTTGAACTACAAGAAATAACTATTTTAAAAATTATCATTATTTCAACTTGATTAACAAATCATCTGATAACAAAGGAACCAGATGAAAGTTATTTTAAATAAAAACAGAATCTTGTGCACATATGCACACACACCTGGTGTGAGTTTCAAGCCACTGGTCCAGGACTCAAAGTGCAATCAGCCATATGGGAGTTTAGTGACATAACCATTATGCCATCTGCTGGTCCCTAAAAATGTATTTCTTAAATTTCTTCTCATGATGCTGGCAAGTGGTGTGGTGATTAAGGACACTGGACTCCTACATGGCTGACTGTGGTTTGAGTCCCAGACCTTTCTCACTTTCCTTCTCTCTCTCTCTCTCTCTTTCTCTTTCTCTAGCTCTGTCCATCTCTGGTCAAAATTAAAATAAATAAATAAAGTTAAATAAAATAATAATTCTTTAAAAAATTATTCTCTGTTCCTAAGCTAATAACAACGTGGCACTCACTGGCATTCACTAGGGTAGAGGATTTTCATTGTTGATCTGGACTTCTGAGGTACGTATTGTTATTTTTCTTCTGGTAATGCTACTTCATAAAATGATATGAAGTACAGGTACACATTTTTATTTTTTGGGTATTATAACAAAAAATCCTATTTGCATGTTACTTAATATTCTGTGTAGATAATACCAGGACCTTTTATGTCAGACACGCTGTAGCAGCGACCCTAAATTTAAGTGCTTTGTATTTGGAAAACTGAAGAATGATTATCTCAAATAAACCATGCTAAATGAAGCATCTTTTACATAGTTTAAAAATTCAGTATCCATTCTTTTTTTCTTTATTCATTATAGAATATGTACATGTGAATGTGGCAGTGAGAAAGTGAGTGATAAAGGGGTAAGTACACACCGCAGGTTCTAGTTATGCCATGTTCCCCACCCTTCTGCCCATTAGTCCTTCAGATCTCGGGCACTCCCATGCATACTTGGCATGCTTCAGGGTGACCTGGCCAAGGATTCAATCCATGGTACCTATGTGGGATGCAGCTTCTCTTGAGCAGGGCATTACTGCTGTGCCACAGAGCCTACTCGATAATCTATTCTTAATTTTCTTTCTTGTTATTTCTTATTTTTTAGCCAATTTGACATAAAATAGCTACTAGAAAATGATTTTTAATTATTAAATACTCATTAGAAAATAAGATAAATGAAAAAGACATACATACATATACACATATTTTAAAGTATACATAAATGTACACAAGAAGAGAGATGACAGAATAGTGTGTATATACACATATATGAAGTTTATGTAACAATAAGGCAACCTTCCATTTACAGTGTATTTTTGAATTTACAAAACTTCCAGTTTTATGATTTCATTTAATTTTTTACAACTACACAGTATTATTCAATTTTTAGATGCTGAATAGCGTCAGAAATATTGAGCCGAATACCCACGGTGACATAGATATTAAGTGGCAGAATTTAATCCTTCTGACTTTCTGATTCTCCACACCTAAATGCTCATAACACCATGTGCATACACACGCACACACACACACACACACACACACCATATACACACAATTCTACAAATGATAGCACACGTTGTTTGAACTATATCATTTAACAAACAATGGGTTACTGATCATAAACTATTTGCTCTTGTTAGAGTTGAGTTTTACTTATAGCTTTTAAAAATGGGTTAAGAGATGGTACTTTAAAACAAACATACCCAAAGCAATTGTATGAGAAAACAATTACCTTAATAACAGATGTCTCAACTCTGGAAGGGGGACTCTGAACTTGTGCCGCTGCCGCCATATTGGCAATGGTGCTCAAGTGGTTCATCTGGCTCATCGCCATGGTGACAGATGCTGGAGGTAGGCTGACAGGAATTAGAGGGTGGGGCATCATCATAAAAGGAAGTTCCAGCCCTATAAGAAATACACAGATAGCATCATTACACTGTTCCAAATAAAACTGAGATATGTGATATCTCTCGCTTATTCAAGTCATTAAGGACATAAGTCTTTGAAAGCTGAAACACTCAAACTGTTCTAATAAAAACGGTCAAAGAAAAAAATATTTTTTCCTTTTTGTACGCAGCAACATTCATTCACCACTCTGAAAAATTAGGTTCACAGCTAAGTCATTTGCTATTGTAGTTTATCATTATACTACTCTTCACATATTTAACACAAATGGTCAATTCTTTGTCCTATTATCCCTCTGATCATCCTACATCTTCTCTAAAATATTAGGGTTTTGTACAGGTTATTATGATCCGTTATCTTAATGTAGTATAGCTCTTTATTAGGTCTTTTCTGTCTGACAATTACCCAAGAAATGCCTTTGAAAACTACCATTTTTAGTGCTAAAAAATGCCATCGTACCATTTGGCAGAAGGTGACTCTGCTGAAGATGGTTGAGAGGATGACTAACTGGAAGGCTATGTGCTCCAGGCATGCGGGGGTGGGAAACGGAAGCCTGAGATCCCTGGGATGGGATCTCAGAATGTAGTGTTTCCTTATCCCAAGAACCATCACTGTTGCCTGTGGGGAATGAATATAAATTACTTGGATACAATATTATTCCAGATCTTCCAATGACTAATTTGAAACGAGGTTTTTAAAAGATTAAGATTATAAAACTGATTTCTAGGGAAATAAGCTGAAGTAAATAAATGTCTCCAAAACTGAATTTTCTCTTTTTGTTTTCCTGTTTTCTAGATAGGATTCCAATTTTTTTTTAAATACTTCTGCAACATTTAATCTATTTTTGGATTCTAATCTTGTTTGATGAATCAACTTAATATTAAATGGATTCTATTACATAGCTAGATCATTATTGACTCCTTGGCACTGAAGCACTCACTAGATGGTTATAAAATTAATACGGAGTTATTCTTGTAGTGAGTGGTATCCTGGTCTCCATTTCAGGTGCCTAATTTAATTCCACAACAAATCCTAAAATGGAATCGTTATATACTCAGCTTGGTTAAACATTGTAGAGAGAACACAAAAGATCACCTTACAAAGGATAAATTTGTCCTAGTAAAAAAATAAATGTGTATGTGAGTATGATTAAATACATTACCTGTTTTCAAATAAAGAGAAATATCAATTTATGATGGTAGCAGTTATGGGGTCAAAGTCAAACTGTATACCTAAGGTCTTTTATTTCAATATTGGTGGCTATGTACTAGATACAACTAGATCTTAAAATATCTTAACAGGATGCCTATTGGAAGAGGTTTATTTTAATTTATGGATGTCCCCAAATCAAATTAATTTATGATTAATTTCTTTTTTAAGTGAGTCTGTTAAATACACATCCTACCCACTTAAAAAATTTTCTCTGATATCTCTGTCAGCTTATGAGGTTTTATTTCTTTAAAAAAGGGAAGGAAGAAACTACATTTTCATATAATATTCATGGAAACAGCATAGTTGGTAAAACTCCAGTTTGATGTGTTAGCTCTACTAAAAGGCTCATTGTAAAATCGCTATGACATAGTTTTTAATGAAGAATAGTTAGTTACTGCCATGATTTTTTCCCATTTACTTCATGAAGACAGTTAAGGTTCAATATAAATTCAAACTCATTAGCTCAATACTGTCTGGATCTTAGAGTAAATTGTTCAGAAGTGGGTAATGAAAACTCAATTCAAATTCTTCAGCAATCAAACAAAGCAATTTTATTAAACAATGAAAAAGAATCAATTAAAATGGATATCTTTATTATCTTTATTATTTTACAAGAAACCATGACAGCTTTTGGTTAAAAAAAAAAAGTTTATAGCTTCATACAGAAATGAATCACATAAAAGAAATTTCTCCAGCTTGCTCCTACACTGGCATAAAAGTTCACTTTCATATTCACAAGTTTATACATTTTATCTCTCTACTCATGACTTTTTGACAATTACACCAAAGAAGTGAGACAGACATGCAAAAACTATAAATACATGATTTTTTTCAAATGTGCAAATGATGTCAAGAGAATATTATGATAAAACATTTTAAACATCTTCACTTAACATTGCTTTATAAATGTATGTGCAAATTTTTCCATTACATATTTAAACCATTAAATATGACAAATTTGGTTTTGTCAAATTTTATGATTTAGTATTGGTTTTACCTTTTATGGTACCAATTAAAACAAAAAATAAAGCATAATCACAGAATACTAGAATATAGAAATAAATCTGGGGGCTAGCTGGTGGCATGGTGGTTATGGTAGCCGGAACCTACATGGCCTACTCCATGATTTATATCCTGAACTTGGCAGCTTGAAAAACATGCTGGGTGCACATGTGTCCAAAATCCCAAACAGAGGGAGAAATGGAGAAGAAGGGATTGCAGCAGGTTCATCCCCATGAAGGGTGTTTTCTCACTTTCTCTCTCTTTCTCTTTCTCTGTTCTCTCCAGTGAGTACACACCCTCTGGCAACAATTGAAAAGAAAAAAGAAATAAAAAATTGGAATAAATATTTTAATGTGGGCACAACTTTGGAAATTTATAAGCAACAGGTAATTTTTCCATAATTTTTCTTTAAGTAATTATTCATTTATTTAATTCCATTTATTATTATTATTATTATTCATTTGACCAGAGAGAGACAGAGAGAAGAGAGAAAAGGAAAGTGAGAAAGCAAGCCACCACGTCTGGGACTTGACCAGCAATCGGCCATGTGGGAATTGTCTCTCACCATTACGCAACCCATTGATCCCTCATACTTTTTCTTGACTTTCATTTAAGATATCCAACAAATGTAAGGATTACATTTTCATTGTAGATTTCATATTTGAGAATAGTTAACTAACATATAGAATTTAAAAGCACATTCATTATTTTGAATTCTGTTTAGGTTTCACTTATATCTATACTTTACTTTTGTTTTTCTATTCCTTAAACTATTTTTTTATCTTTTATTGGAATCCTGATTGCTACTTAAAAGTTGACAAATAGTTATTTGTCCAAATATCTTTAACATTTATTCTGAAATAAGTACAAATGCATTATAAGACTAGTCAGGTGGTGTGGTAATTAAGGTGGCTAAATCCCAGGGGTTTGACAAACGTACCAGGCATGTGAGTATTCATGCCCCAAATCTCCAAAAAGGAATAAAGAAAGATTGTGGATTACTGTTCTCCCTGGGGTGTGCTTTCTCACTTTTCCTCTCTCTCTATTTCTTTCTCATTGTTGAGTGAACATACCCTACAACAATTTTTTAAATTTAAAATTAAAAAATAAAAACATTATAATTTTATTTTTTTCATTATTAAGGTATAAAATTATGAGGCTTGATACCAGCAGGTGGCATAGTTGTCAAGATACTGGACTCTCACATGGCCAACCATGGTTTAAGGCCTGGACCCAGCAGCTTGAAAATCATACTGGGCACATGTGTGTGAATGTCCAAAATCCTAAGAAAAGAATGGAGGAGAAGGGCTTGCGGTGTTACAATCCCTTGGGGGAGAGGTGTGGGAGGGTGATTTCTCACTTTCTCTCCCTCTGTCTCTCTCTGTCTTTCTGGAGAGTGCACATGCCCTATAGCAAAAGTATCTCCCTAAGAGGGAAAAACATGAAGCTAAAATCTGATTAAATCATTTGAAAAGAGATTATATCCTCTTTTATGTCTATTTTGCATCACAGAATATCGGTCCTTTGCATGAATAAATATCCATCACCATATGTGAATTTTCCATACCAAGTTTCTAATACTAGATTAGATTTTCTCACTACATAGAATGCTCCTAGCCATCTCCGCCAGTCATCATTTGTTAAATACTCATGATGTTAGCTCATTTGGGTAATAAATAGAGCAAACAATTAAGAAACTAAGTCTGATGAAAAATATACAATATATAACCAAGTCAGCTGTAAGTGATTTTTGCATTATTTATAACATCCTTCCCTTCTATTAGCATGAATAAATGAGGATTGAAAATAGGCCACTTCAGAACAAGACAAGCCCATGGTTCTTAACTGTATAATTTCAGGTGTTTTAGTTTAAGCTACTACATATCACAATATAAGACAACATATATGTCCCATGTCGAGGACAGAAACATGTATACATACATATATACCTTTACGAATAATGCTTTCTACTAAGATTGGAAGGGACAGCAGTAACTTCAATATATAAAAACATTTCTAATATTTTGTAGAGGGAGATAGAAACAGTAAAACATTGGTTTAATTTTTCCTTTTCCTTTTGTTGTCACAGTTTCTTTGACTTTATGGTGAAATAAAAAGATGAATCTAATATTACCTTACTGTCCTTGATAACAGGGAGTTGAAGTTAAGTATACACAAACCTTGTAAAGTATGGTAGCAATATCAAACGATGAAGAGTCAAGGAAAATAGTCAGAAGTTTATGAAAAGATTCAATACATCATGTAGTCTGACCATTTATAATGTATAATGATATTTTAAGGATGGGCTGGGATGTAGAGTAGAAAAGATCTCCCATAACTAGTCCTAAACACATATTCTCAAGAAGCATAGAAGAGATCTCAGGTTAGATTTCACTCAGGTAAGCAGATCTAAACTATATACAGGTAGTCATTACATGATGAAATCGTATAACAATATTTACCCTGAAGCTCAGCCACTGCACCATGGTTTGATTTCAGCAGAGGAAAAATGAACAAATATACAGTCTTACAGCAGCTACATGTAAGTAGGTACATGAACATAGGAAGAAAAATTGAAATTAACACGATTGCCAATTTTGTCTCCAGCTAAAAACAATTAATTATGCACTTATATAATCTGAAATAATTTACTTACCTGGATGAATTATACTGATATTAAGATTATATCAGTAATTACATATTCAAGTATATGGTATGTAGATTTTTAAAAGCGCCTACACGCACTTTGTTTTCCCATCATACAGAAGCTGTACATTCTTGGGGACAAACGTGGTTATCTTAAAGTTTAGGGAAGATGAAATTAAAATATGTAAGAACTCAATATGAGAGACATTCTCTCCCTTTAGTTTCTCCCTACCTTAATATTAAAACATAGTTAATAGATTCTTAAAAAGCAAACAGTTTGAAGTACTGTCTAAATGTTTTCATAGGCTCAGATTTGGCTTGTCCCCATTTTATATTTTTATAGTATTTTATGATATATGTTCTGTGATGGAATGAGTTCCAAACACAGAAATACACCCTTGAATTTTGAAAGCCATTTCTATTCTAAGGGTAACCAGATTAATGAACAGTCATAGCTGAGAGGTTATAATCATAAAGTTATTTAACTAAAATTACTGCCTTAAAACATATTATACTTTGCCAAGTTTCTCTTTTCTGTCCCTTAATATTCTTGAGCAGATTTTGAATATGAGCAATTCTTTTTTTTAACTTGATATAGGGTGTGTGCACTTATTAGAGAGAAAAAGAAAGAAAAAAAATGAGAAAAGTAAGAAAGCACACCCTGGAGAAGTCATGCCACATTCTCCTCCATTCTCTTCTTGGGGTTTTGACACACAGGCACATGCCCTGCATATGTTTCAGGCTGCCAGGTCTAGGAT